GCTGGCCCCATATGCCGGAGGTGGCGAGTTCAAGCCGAGTCCTGGACAAAAACTGCCAAAAAAAAAAAAAAGTCTAGTCCAGTTTAAGTGTGTCATGCATGTAATCCTAGCACTCTGAGTGGCTGAAGCAGGTGGATTGCTTGAACTCAATGAGTTTGAGAACAGCCTGAGCAAGAGCAAGACCTCCATCTCTACTAAAAATAGAAAAAACACTAGCTGGGGCATGGTGGTGTGCACTGGTAGTCCCAGCTATTTGGAAGGCTGAAGCAAAAGGATCACTTGAGCCCAGGAGTTTGAGGTTGCTGTGAGCTATGATGGCTCCACAGCATTCTAGTCAGGGCAACAGAATGAGATTGTCTCAAAGAAAAAAGGACAGAACAGTGAAAGAGAAGGAAAGAAAAAGATGGAAGGAAAGAAGGGGAGGGAAGACAAAAGAAAAAGCCTTTTTTTTGGTCTCCCTCGGTAGAATGCTGTGGTGTCACAGCTCACAGCAACCTCCAGCTCTTGGGCTTAGGCTTTTCTTAGGCTTAGGATTCTCTCCTGGGCTTAGGATTCTCTTGCCTCAGCCTCCTGAGTAGCTGGGAGTACAGGTGCTACTTATGCCCGGCTAAGAAAAAGTCATTTTATGCTGGCTTTAAAGGGTAAGAAAAGCCTCACACACCAGGGGCAGCAGATTGGAACCTTGCCTGGGCCTGATCAAGGGAAAAAAAGAAGAAAATCCAAGTGTAAAGACTTGGGGCAGGGTAGTATGTACCTTGTAGTCCTCTACTCAGGAGACTGAGGCAGGAGGGTTCCTTGAGCCCAGGAGTAGTGGCTGCAGTGAGCTATGCCATGGTCAAATCTGTGAATATCCACTGCACACCAGCCTGAGCAAAGTAGCAAGACCAATAAATAGGCAGATAAATAAGGAGGCACTGGACAGGATTTTGTTAGGGAAAAGGAGTGGAGGTTAGGACCCGTGAGCCAAACAAGGATCACCTTTCCTGTTCCCTGTCTTCCTTTACCTGTTTAAACATTGTTATTCCCCTGAGCGTTATCAACTGACCATTTTAATGTGATTGTTAAACTAGAAAGTGAGGAACTGTAGTTAATCTGAACTGATCAGATAGGTTTCTAGATTTCTTTCCCATCTTAGTGGATGTATTCTGTTGCATGCCTGTGGAAACCCAGTGTATGTGGTTTTGTTTGTTTGGGGGCGGGCAGGCTGAGGTGTGGACAGAGAACTACAGAGGTTCTGATGACCTCATGTATGAAGTACTGGTGAAAAACATTTTTGCTAGGATGAATCCCATCCTTCAGTCTGGAAAGGGAAAATACATGAGAATTTAAGGTAACAAAAAAGAGCGTAACAGGGAAACAGAACCCAGTAATGTATAAGAACAGTTTATTTCAGGTTTGTTTGTTTGTTTAGAGACAGAGTCTCACTTTATCACCCTTGGTAGAGTGCTGTGTCATCACAGCTCACAGCAACCTCCAACTCCTGAGCTTAAGCAATTCTCTTGCCTTGGCCTCCTAAAGAGCTGGGACTTACAGGCGCCGGCCACAACGCCTGGCTACTTTTTGTTGCAGTTTGGCCAGGGCCAGATTCAAACCCGCCACCCTCGGTTTATGGGGCCGGCACCCTACCCACTGAGCCACAGGCGCCGCTCTATTTCATGTTTGTTAAAAGGAAACAGGAAAGTTTTAATGAATGAGCCCTTTCCTCTGCCCCACCTGTTTTAGGTTTTACAGTGATAGGAGTAATTTAAACAAATAGCTGCAACTTTTTAGGCCATATGTGTGAAATTACTTTTATTGGATGAATTTCCTTCATTTCCAAAGCATATTTTTGCAGTCTGCATTAAACTGGACCATTGATGACCTTTTCAATAGACTGGAAGATCCTGGCCATCCTTAGAAGTGTTCTAGGTCTTTTGTGTGGTTGAAACCAAAGTTTAAGACACTAGTCTGGATCAAATATTTTGTGAACAGATAGAGGTTATGATGCCTTAA